TCCTTGGGACCCTTCGCTCCTATGAGAGACCCAAAAGAAGCTCCAGGCTCCTAGTTTCGGATAGGCTCCTGCCATCGCGGCCATTTGAGGAGTTAATCAGAGGATGAAAGGTCTTTCTGTGTCTTTCCTCTCTGTAAATTTGCCTTTCCAATTAAATACAAATTAAAAAAAAATAACAGAGAGAAAACATCACAAAATTTCTCCCTTCTTAGATAGATAAATAGATTAGATAGATGAGGTGCTACTTGCTAACACTTTAACAGCCTAAACTACCCAGGGAACTCACCATGTAACCTGTGGGTGCCTGCAGCTCACAGCCTGACTTCACGGAAATGTGGAAAGGCTATGCTGGCATCCTGCGAGGCTTTCATGGGCTACACCACAGAACATGACAACTGTCCTTGCCAATCTATGGCTGTCGCTGACCCCATGCACACGCACAACAGGAGAGGAAAAAAGTCAACCACAGTGAATTTCCAAAGCTCTCAAAAGCACTCCAGGACAACTTAGCATGAAAGAGTTTGTGCAATGGACGTCACTCAAGGTATTTCTGGCAAGTGCAAGAGTTCATGTGGGCTTCCAATTCCTCTGAGATGGTGGCATCAGGGACACGCATACTGTCACCTTCGACATAAAGCAGCCTTCTAAAGACGTAAGCTGGCACCACATCTGGCTCAACATCTGGAACAGCATCTCTTACAGGGGGATTAAACCAAGGTCATTCTGCACAGCAGGCGGGGCCGGGGGAGTTAAGTATCTCTTAAATTATGGCCCACCGGATTCCTTTCATAAGAAATCTCTGGCAAGCTGATTGAAAAGGCAGACTCTTAAAGCCTCTGGAATTACTAAAAAAACAGTTTTTACATACATACATACATAGATAAACCAATATTGAGCAACCCATTCAACTTGAAAATTCAGTATCTTTGTGTGTGTGTGTGTGTGTGTGATTTTTAAGTTATGTTTTTTTCCCTTGTTGTTTGGTTTGGCTTGATTGTTTTAGTATCTGTTTTTTTAAAACATGATTTTTCCCCTTCCACTATCTTCTGTTTCATGTTTCAGACTGGTGTGGACCTACTAGATTGCCATCACGATCCCCTCATGCATTGTTTCAGCTTAAAAAGTCATTAGTCCAGTTGACTAGCCAGAAGCAGAACTCGAGTTACACAACCAGCAACAAGCACTTCAGCCTTCATGAAGCACACAGCTCAGAAATCCCCCCACCTTTCCAAGTTCATCAGCAAGTTTAATAAACCAAACCATGCACTTGGATGGCTTTGGGCATTAAACAGTGGTTTTTCAGACTTCAGTTACAAACCTTCATGGCACCCATTCTTAGGTCAGGGCAGGACATGTTACCTCCATAGCAAGGACCACCTATCCACCCTCAACACCACGCAAAACAATGCAGTCAGCAAAGTGCACTTGCAGCCCAGCTCGGGCCCTCCCCACCCCAGCCACATCCTCTAGGCAAGAGCTTCAAAGCCCTGCTTGCCTTTCCCACCTAACCCCGCTCCACTCACACCAAACAGCCAAAGAGGGTAAACTGCTTCTCTGTGGTACCGCAAGTTCATAAACGCGTCTGACTTCACAGCACTTTGAGAAGCCAGTCTCCCCAACCTTTTCATTTTTTTCTCCTGGGCATTGCTCGTCTCACTTCTCCCCTGCATCTGCCGCCACACTTCTCTTTCTAGCTTTGTAACTGCCTCTCCTTTACCTTCACTTCCACCTTCTGGGGAAGCAGAATGAGACACCATGAACGCTTCCAACTCACGTGGTTTACACTAATGCCCTTCCTCCAAGGACGGTATTCCTTTGGCCAAAACTAAAACAACCCTGGCTCTGAGAAGTCCTTCTCCGAGGAGTGTCTGGGTCTGGAGTCGCAGTGTTATCCACAAGGCTTACTGGTTTTCTGCTCTCCCAAGGAATTGCCTCTCTAATCCTGCTTCAGTACAAATTCTCAAAGAAGGAGTCTGTGTGGGGGAGAAGAACACCTGAGAACTGGGGAGAGGATCAATGAAAACAATGCCTTTCCCCCACCCCACCCAACCCCAGCCCAGCCCAGGGCTTCTCACTCGCTCATGAGGCTGCCACGTGGTTTTGGTGTGTCTCTCCGATAGGTCTCTCCCAAGATCGACATCTCTAACTCAGTCAGCCCACAAATATTTATTGAGCAACAAATACTTATGAGCCAGTAATCAATCCATCTAGGCTCTGGAGCTGTAAACGAGATAAGGTCACAGCCTGGTGGAATTTCCATTCTAAGGAGCAAGATGGACAAACATGCTAGGTGAATATATCATGCTGGGGAGTGCTGAGTGAGAGCAGAGGAATCTGAGTAAGAAGATCAGAGGGTGCATGGTTGCTGTTTCACAGTCATAGGAAGGCTTCCTGCAAGCGGACAGTTCATCAGAGGCCTAAAGGAAAATAAGGAAGTTAGCCATCTGGGCACGTGATGGTGACAGAAACAGCCTATGCAAAGGCCCTGGGGCTACAGGTAAAAGAACAAGTATGTGTGTTGGGGAGGACATAAGCACTAGCATTAGGACCAGCCATCCCACACCCAATCAGGTCTTGAGTTTCTCCAGACTCTTTGTGGGCTGCACCCTGGAGCCCGCCCCCTCCTGACACCTACCAAGCTTGTTGCTCTCTGCCTTTGAGGAATGCTGGTAGAGGCATTTACCAGTCCATTTGATTTGTCAAAAACAATTTTAAAAAGCTTGAGTACTGAACACAAGCAGAAAAGAAAGCCAGAGGAATACTTCAGCAGGGCCTGTAAGGGACAGGAAATGTACTATTGTGTCACCAGCTAATGCCAAGGGCCATTCAAAAGTCTTCTTCATGACTCATCTCTATTTCAAGACCACCCAAAGCACCTGACGTCCTGCAGAGTTGCCTTTCTGGTTTTTCATGGCATTCCAGAGAGAGTCACATCCCAGGCACCCTGGATGCTCCAGACCTCAACGCAGAAGCAACCCTGAGCAAGTATCCAAAGCTCACCCTTGGTGTCACTGCATACTGACATCACCCAAGCAGAGGCCCCAGCCTGATTACCGGAACAGGCAACCTGCGTCAGAGCACGCCCCTGAGCCGCTCCTGTGTGAACACGGAGCCAACCCCACAAAGGATGACAATACATCCCATCTTCTGTACTCATTTCCCCCTACAACAACGATACCTATGTCCCCTGCTGGTGCAGCCACAACTCTGGAAATGACTCCCCATGCTTTCCTTATTTGCTGCAGATAAATTACTTTGTGTGAGAACTCCTTCTGGTGCATATCTTGATTGAACTCACCAAGAAGTGGGCCCACAGCATGGGGTGGGTTAACAATAACACAGAGAAAAGGCTCAAAGGTTGGCTATTTAAAAAAAAAAAAAAGAAGTCTGCCACCTGCCTACAAAAAATGTAGCCTTGAACTTACAGCCCCCCAGTTACATAAACTGGGCGACAATGATCCTTGAAACAACCTTGAAGAGCAGACCTAGAGTTGAGATAATGTGAAGAATCTGACCACAGAGGCCCTTAATCCTGACTGCTGCCAAACTCTGCAACCATAAAGGGAATATGGGCACTGTCTATCCCCGGAGTTCCCAACAGACTCTTAAAGAGTTGGTACTTAAAAGACACAACGCCTTCCAAAAATTCCTGCACGGTCCCATCTACTTCCCCTTGCCCCGTCGCCCTCAGCTCAGAGTGCCAAGCAGGGGGTACCCCAGTCTGCACACACTTAAACTACTATCTTAGGTTTCCCAAGCCCTCACCTTAAAGCAGCAGAGGCACAAGGCATCCTAAGAACTTGCCCTCAGGGAGTCCCAGGAGCTGTCCAGAGGCCCTCACTGCGGGGCACCACGGGGAAGGGGGGTGGGGAGGCGCTACGCCAGGCAGCTTTAGGTCGGCGCAGGTCTGGTCATCAACAACCAGATGCCAACTTCAAAAGGGCCCCTCGGCGGGAAGCCCGCGGCGGCCGAGTCCCCCGCAGTCACACACTTTGGCGCGCTCGCGAGAACACACACACTCACACATAGAAACACACACTCACGTACACACACACACACACACACGCCACCTCGCGCGCGCCCGCGGCACAGCTCAGACTTCTCAACACCACACACCAAGCGCACCCCCGGGCCCGGCTGAATTCTGTATTTCCTCTTCCTCACTGCTACTCCGGCGACCGCCCCCTCTCCGCGCGGGTTCCAGGCCCACTTCCCCAGAGGAGCGCCCGGTGCGGCCCCTCTCCCATTCCGGGTTCGCCATCGAAGTCGGACCCCCCCCACCCCAACCTCTCCAGAACGCTTTTCCGGGGGACCTCAGCTAACTCCCCAGGAGGCGGGTACTTGTACACCGGAGCCCTCTGCGCTCCCGGTTGCCCACACCGCCCTCTGGCGCCCCTCTGGCCCCCCAGCCCGGTAGTAACCCATCACTTCCCCCGCCGGGGAGCGCGTTCGCCGGGGGATTCCCTCCCATCGCCCGGCGCCTGAGAACCCCCGGAGTCCCCGCCGCCAGACGCGTCCCTCTCGCAGCTTCCCGGGTCTCCGACCCCAGAGCTCCCGATTCTAACCTCCTGGCCTCACACTCGGCGGTCCCCGACACCCCAGTGGCAGCCGCGAGGCGTGTCGGCGCCCCCTCCAGCCCGCCCAGGTGGAAATATCTCCGCGGGTTCCCGGGCCCCGGCCCTGCGCCTCAGCGCCTCAGCGCCGGCCACCCGTACCCCGGGTGTTCCTTCGGTCCGCCCCGCCGCCCGCTCTGCCCAGACTTCCCCAACTGCACGGCGCCCCGGGCGCGCCCGCAGCCCTCACCCGGCCGGACGCCGCGGCCACCTCCGCCCGAGCCACGGCGTCCTCAGGGAGGAAACAAAAGTGTCTCCGCGGCGTCCGGAGTCCCCCAGAGCAGGGCAGGGGGCCTTCCCCCTGAGCCCGAGCTCCAGCCCCCCTTTCCGGGCCGCGCTGAGGTCAACGAGCCGGGGCGCGGCGCCAGCCCGGCAAACTTTACGAACCTGCCCGAGGTCGCAGGACAGCGGCGGCGGCCAGGCTTCCAGATACCAGAGCTCTGGGCACCCGAGACTACGGAGAGGGGGTCCGGAGGGCGGAGAGAGGTCTGTCGCCAGGTTCCGGGCCGCGGCGGTGTGTGTGAGTGTGTGTGGCGCGGGCTCTACCCGGTACCCATCCTCACCCGCTTCTGCTCGCCCAGAACACGCACTTACACTCCGGGTCGTCCGGCTGCTGCGCCGCCGGCTGCTGCTGCTCTCACTTCCTCTTCCTTCCTCCTGCTGGCCAGAGACACATTTTGCATCTGCAAGGCATCCCGAGAGCAGCCGCGAACTCTCCTACCGAGCGGACGCTGCGGAGTTGCCGCCGCCGCTGCTGCTGCTGCCGCCGCCCCCAGCACCTGCGCCCGGACACGCGTGGTTGGCGCGTTCGCCTCCCGCCCGGGCTTTCAGCCTGCCCACTGCACTTTGCCTTGCCCGCGGATGTGGGGGTGGGGTGCCCACGACTTTTTGAAGTCCCCCTCCTTACCGGGAGGGATATATCACACACAGTGCGTGCCTCACATTTGCTATAAATATTATGTGTGCACGGGGCATGACTTCGCTGAGCTCACACCAGGCGTTTTGCAGGCACTAATTAACTCCGTCACCCTCATAGCGCCACCCCCGGGAGGCCCAGAGCGCGTGGCAATCTTTTTATATGCTTTCATTTTTTGGTAAGTGGTTCGGGATTTTTCAAGGGAAACTTCGGGGGGCTGTGTTAGAGCTACTCGGAGAGGCGGTTGTGTTGGCTTGGACGCTGCGCCTCTGCCCTTGAACGACGTGTCAGAAATCACAGCCGAAGGTTTCCCCCACTTCCATCATCACCTGTGCGTTGGCTGACCCACAATGAAACCACAGAATTTATTTCTGATCCAGTGAGCCGGGGACTCCCTCGTTTTTGCATAATTGTGCGTGAAACAAGACGTGCTACCTCCCAGTTTGGCATTTAGGAAAATGTAGCTAATTCATGCAAGCTTCTTGAAGCATTTTTAACGCAGAAATCTAGCACGACGTTAACTCCCAGCCCAGCAGGCTGGAGTGAGAATGACAGGGGTTGGAGGGTGGCAGGAGAACTGCCACAAATTCAGAAACGTCTACGCTGCTCTACACAAACAGGCACGAGGAGCTGCCCTGCACGCCCTTCTATCTGGCAAAGAACCCGGACTGTTGGCAGGGAGGCACTCGACACTAAGGTGGAAGGCCTAAAAGGCCCACTCGTCTCCACTCCCCTACCCTCACCCTCCCACTCCAACCACTTCTACCCCACCCACCTCCCCACCCCAGAACAGTTAAATGTTAACACTGGACTAATTTGCCCTTTTGCAGCCAAGAGCCTCAGACAGGTGTTGAATCCTGGACAAAGTATGTGGCTAGTGCTGAGAAATTCTATATGTGTAAAAAGAGCACAGAAAATAGCCTGTTACGTATATGTGGAACACGCCATTTCAATAAATGTCACTGCAACCGTTCGGATGTATTAGGTCACGTGGGTTAATGCAGAATTAATTGTAATTGTGTGTATGTGTATGTACACATATTTATAATTAATTTCTATACATATACACAATTACGATTAATTTCACAATTCTTTTCATTTTTCAACATGGTTCCCAGAAAATGTAAGCATATGCACGTGATTCTCATTAGTGGCTCACATTATATTTCTAATTAACAGCCTTGATCTAACATCTTATTACGTATGTAACTTAGGAGGCAGTATTAGTAGCAGGATGCCTGGGTCCAGTTCATTTTAAGCTAGTAACGTAAAACAGAATGATCCCAGGAAAGTAACCTCTTCATTCATTCCTCTATCAGTAATGATATGATAATAACAATCAACAGGGCAACTATTAAATAAGGTCATTTAATAAGCAGTCAGTAAATGAAGATTTTGTTAATAACGCCAGGAGACGCTTACCATGATCAGTACGAATTTGATCTACAACTCCCTCCATAAGGCACATCAGACTCTTAGCTCCGGGGCAGGCACTGTGAGCACAAGGGGATGTGAGCTGTCACAAGTGTCCCCTCTTTGCCCAGCCAAGTTCCCTGAAACCTTGGATGCCAGCTCTGCCCCCTACAGTCAACAAAGAGTAACTCCTGGCCTACCTTCATGAAGTAACGAGTCAAGACAGCCTCCAGATTCCATCTTTTAAGCATTGTCTTTGGAGGAGTAAACATTGCCAGTTGCACTAACTTCTCTTCATGCGGTATGGTTTCCAACCTCCTCATCTTAGTCATTTCTCCTCTGCAAGACACATTTCCAAAAAATGACCTTTCAAAAAAAATGGTTAAACTAACCATTAACATCCAGGTACAGCAACCCTAGCTTTCTCCCTTGTGGGTGGCAAGAACCCAACTAGAGAAGTCACTGCTGCCTCCCTGGATCTGTATGAGCACGAAGCAGGGGTGGGAGCAGGGCTAGCCTCCAATAGGAAACCCAGGCTCTACCTGGCAGAGTTCTAGCCAGGCCCTTAACCACCAGGCCAAAGGCCTCTCCCTGAATTTGCCTTTTCTACCACTAATGATTCAAATTGATTGAAGCTTTCCTTTGTATGTGCTCACAACTATTCCTTTTAAACCATTTGTTTTAAGAAGCAAGGTAGACCATGGATTCTGAGTCCTGTGAATTTATAGATGCATTTCTCCACGTGCTGCATAATTCCGTCACAAATCAACATCAAGTTTTCCCCACTTTGTAGCTGAACCAATATATTTCCTTTCCCCGTGTTAGAATCAGGCTCATGCTGCTCTGCTTCCTGTCTTCAAACATCTCTGGGAGCAGAGAAAGGGGCCTCCACTCCGGGAGGCTACCACCCCAGGGATAATGAGGTCTCGGCAGTAGGCAGACACCTGCCATCCAGAGTCGGCAGGCTCAACGCTGGACAAGCGGAGGGCCACAGAGGTCTGCTGTGACAAGCCTGATCCTTCATTAATGTAATGGACACAGAGTGCTTTCAATGTGAGTTTAAATGGGTAGAAGGAAGGTTATGATGGTGAAAGGGAGAAACCTGGGATGCTCTTGCCTGGCATTTGCCTTCCAACTGGGGAGACAGATTCAAAATGAATAGAGTAACAAGCAAATAGGATAATGTTAAGGGGAGCAGAGAAGGAGAGACTGTAGCATCATGTAGGGACAGAAGTGAGGACATCACCTGAAGGTGGAAAAAAGAAAAAGCCCCCCGGGGAAGCTCTGCTGGAGTTGAGACCTGAAGGATGAGCAAAGACAGAGGGGAAGAGAAGGAAGCATGTTGGCAATGCAGAAGTCACTTCGTATGAAGATCTGTAGAAACCATGGTACAGAAAGAATCTCAAAAACAGTTTGCACAGGCATTCAGCCTGCCACTCGAGATGTCATTTGTGACGCCCACATTCATACAGGAACACATGGGCTTGTGGCTCAGCTCTGCTCCGGAGTGCAGCCTCCTGCTCGGGTGCTCCTTGGGAGGCAGCAGTGATGCCTCAAGTAGGTGCTTCCCTGAATCCCATGGGTGACTTCCAAGCTCCTGACTCTGGCCTGGCCCAGCCCTGCAGGTGCAGGCACAGGGGAAGTGATGTAGTGAAGCATGCTCCCCATCAACCTGCTCTTCCTTCTTTGCCTTTCTTCTTCCCTTTCCCCTCCTCCCCTCCTCTCTTTCTACCTCTCCAAAACTAAGTAAGTAAATAAATAAATAGTTTGGCTGATATGTGACAGTGAAGTGTCAACATCAAATCTAAGAGCAATAGGCAAAAGCCAAATATGTAGGCCCTTAAAAACTCTCATCGCAGAATTTGGATATAATAAGGATAGGCACTTTGGATATAAGGAAGACACTGAAAGGTTTATGCCTTTGATTTTGTTTTGCTTTCAATGAAATGTTTTAAGCAAGAAATCGTTATGGTCAGTTTTACTTTAAAGGGTATCTATTGAATAGACATTAAGGAGGAAAATAAAAAATGCATACCCTTAGTCTGCTAAGGCCCACCATAACAAAATTCCGCCGCTTTGTAGCCTAAATGACAGAATGTTACTTTGCTAGATGGCTGAAGTGAGGTCAGGCTGCTCTCACAACTGGGCCCTGGACAGGGCTGCCCTCTGCCGACCCCTAGCCTACACACTGCCACCTTTTCACTGTGTTCTTTCACAGCAGAAGGAGCAACGGCTTGAAAGGGCATTAATCCCATCACGAAGGCCCTTCCTTCACGATCTATTCTAAAGCTAATTAACTTCCAAAGGCACCATCCACAAATACCAACATGTAGGGGGATAGGGCTTCAACGTACACATTTGGCCAGGGCAGAGGAACATAAACAATGAGTTCATAACGAACAGATAGGTGTTATAGCAGTGAAGTGAGGCCAGAGATGATGAGCATCTAAGATCCGCATGCATTGTAGAGTTGGGGAGAAGCAGGTCAAGTGCCACACAGGAAGAGGAGCATGTATCTAATGGATACTTATCCCAGGCTTACAATCAGTTTCTTTTGCCTTCCTGCCTTGACCCAAATAAACATCGAACTTGTTTGGTCTTCCTATAGCTTAATGTCCAATATACTCCACCAATATTTGTTCCCAAGTCTCCAGCTGAGTGGGAAAAAAATGAATGTGTTAACATTGCTCTAGGCTCTCTGGATTTAGTGCTTATTCACGCTCAGCTTTAGGCTCTCTGGATTCTGTGTTTGTTCCTATCCCTAGCTGGCTTTGGAATTCTGTTTTGTTTTTCTTTACATTCAGCTCATGTCTTCAGCCCGCTTGTCCTTGCTCCACTTTATCTCCATACCACCCAGGTAAGTAGTGTCTCCCTCAGGGGCAGAGGAGGTTTAGACATATGTCCTGTGTATTTTTAAAAAGCTGGTTTCTGTCCAGACATGCTATTTACTGCATCAGTACAATGCATTCTCTGGAGCTATAGAGATGGCTTCCTAGGGAAAATATCATCCCGTGATTTGGCATGAAGTATTCCAAGAAAAGCAAAGCAAGTGTCTTTTCTGCTAGCAGAGGTAATTTCTCATGTCATCAATGAGTGGAATCCGATAGAGAATGTCTGTCTCCAGGACCACTGCTGCTGGCTCAAGGTGCTTTCCTTCTGTGTTTACTAGTTACATTCTCCTGTAAGACTCCAAGAAGGATAGCACACACAGCTGTGTAAAGATCACAAACCAAGGCAGGGAATTTGCATGTCTGC